GCGCACTTGTTGTGTGATCTTTATTGATGTTCACTCACTTAGCACACGCATCATTTGGATAAAAACTAAATCCTAAAAATAAAACCATTCATAGGGGCATTCACTATAAAAATCATTTATTTTCAACCTTAGGCATACACGACATTCTGTGAAATGAGCTAGGCTGTACTACTGTCCTCTCATTCTGCATCAGTACAAATATGTGCACGCGTTGAGCGTGTTTTGCTTGCTTGTGTGTTTCTGCATTATATGAGAGGCTTTGGAATATAAACCGCAGCATGTTTCAGATGAAAAAAGTTGACTTCTATTTCTGAAAATATCACAGTTAGGAGATTTATAACGAGTGGTTCCCTGCATTATTACAGCAGAGCGCGTGATTACAGTACTGAGCCGCTGCAATGGAGCAGCTCTAATGCTATTAAATTAAAGATGATGTATCATAGAGCAAAAAAAATGAACAGTGCAAGTAACAAAAACTTGTAAAATACATTTTAATGGGCATAATTAAGTGTGAAATAACCGAAGAATATACAGTGAAACCAAAAATGATTCAGAAACCATATATAATTTTTTGTATTTTTTACTAGTGGGTGCAGGACACTATAGTTCATTTATGTAAGTGAGGATAGCAAAATAAAGTAAACTGTGACAAATCATACCCAAAAATTCTTCATACAGTGGACTACCAGTAAAATTTATACAAATTTGGGTCCAAAAATTATTCGGACCGAGTCTGAGAAAAAAACTGAAGTTCAGGTTTGCATGAAGCTGGGTGACAGCATGCCCAGGAGACTACAGGCTGTCACTGAGGCTAAGGGTTGCCCGACAAAGTATTCATAGTTGTGTAAATACTGTCATAGCTGTCTGAATTATTTTGGTTGATTGTAATCTATTACATACCTTTCTATCAAAATTATCTAACATTATCAAGATTAATTTATTCTGACAGTTTAACTCTGAGTTCTTGTCATATTTTATTACCATTTTCTAAACTATAATGAATAAACTGTGATAATGTGAGAAATGTTGAAGTTGTCTGAATACATTTTGGTTTGACTGTATCTATTTGATAAATGAAGTTAACCAACTAACATTATACATACCCTTTTGGTTTCTATACCCAATATTTAAAAAATGTACAAATGCAATAAAAATATCAGTATCGGTACTCGGTATCGGCAAGTACCAAAAATAAAAGTATCGGTATTGGGCGAGTACTGGAAAAAGTGTTATCGGTGCATCCCTAATATATAGTTTGTCAAGATTAATTATGTCCCTTTTCATTTAATTTATTCGTAAACATTGACATGTGCAAACAAAGAGCGTTCAGTGCGCCGGCGTCCAGGTGCAGGTTAACAGGTTAAATACGACACAAATTAAGATATTTTAATGAGATCTAAGAGCATTCTGCCCTGCCATTGACAGTCTGTGCAACAATAGGGCTGGGTCTCAAGTTCGATACTTTTTAGGCACCGACCGAATTGCCTCAATAGCATCGAATTTCAAAATGTGTCTTGTCGTTCGGTACCAAATTTCGATACCTAAGGGATTAATCTACTCAACATCAGTGAGCCAATAATCATGCAGTGAGATACAGTGTGTAAGTGTCCAAATGCTAAAAGATGTGGAAAAGATCACAAGTGTGGCTACATTTGACCAGGCTCCAAGACAACAGCACTCAACGCAATATTTTGCTGATAATTGCTGCCAAGACCAGCAACATGACAAATCTGATGACGCACTTGACCTCATACGTCATCCGCCCTGGAGCTGCTTCCGTGTACAACTGTTGGCACAAGCTACATTAAAGTGATTATTACATTTTGAATATGGATATTGTTCTTACAAATACATGTCGATTCGCTACAGGAGGCCTTTGTTCAGACCCCGGAGCCGTGTGAGACATTTTTTATGGATGGGCGCTTTTTATTTAACTTCTTTTGGACTGATGCATGCAACACCCGCTGAGTGGCATTAAACAGCTTGAAATATCAAAGACAATTTTTTATGTAACTCCGAATGGATTTGTCTGAAAGAAGAAAGTCATATACACCTAGGATGACTTGAGGGTAATTTATGGGCTAATTTAAATTTTTGGGTGAACTAACCCTTTAAAGCATACTTACCCTTAAAGGGATAGTTCACCTTCAGTTGCTGGTCCCCACTGACTTCCATAGTATGTTTAAAAAAACACTATGCAAGTCAAGGGGGACCAGCAACTGAACATGAACTATCCCTTTAAGGTTGGTTGCATTAACAGTTCAGCTTTCTTGTTTGTTTCCACTTCACATTAATGTTATAGATGAAAGCGTCTGCCAAATTAATAAATGTAAATGTAAAATATAAATGTAAATTTATTGTGTTGGTTACATTTTGTTCCTTTATGCAGTCTTTGAGTCTGTAAAAAAAAGTTTTTAAAAAAATGAAACCGATCTTGTTAATATGGATTTCATAAAATTGGTATCGTTCAAGAACTGGTATCGAAGTCAAGGTATCGGTATCGATATCAAATTTTTTAAATGATACCCAGTCCTATGCAACAACCACTTTGACGCTTCAAAAAGTCAATAATGATATCATAAAACTAATCTATTTGAGCAGTTTACTCCAAATTTAGACTAGATTCGTTACAGTAATTTTCAGCATTATTCACAGTAATAACACAGTGAAGTATAATGTCAGTGTTGTTATAGAGAGCAGTTGATGTGCTGGGATGTTCACAATCACACCCATCAGGCCCGTGCTCTCGGGAAGCCCCACCCCTTCCTATTTAAACAGCAGTGCTGGCTCAGTATGGCATACTTTACAGCTCTTCCGAGTCTAAGAATAATGGGCCCTCTGGTGAGATGTCTCACTCATCTCCCTCAGAGAACCTAGGTTATAACCATAACCCAACGTTCTCTTTCAGTCGCCTCGCTCAACATCTCATTATGGGATATAGAAAATGCCCCATATTCGGGCATCCCCTATCTTATTCATTGCACTTAGGAGTCTTCTATCCTCCTTTACCTTTTCTTTACTGTGCTTCCAGCACTGCCTGCATCAAAGCAGATTTTGTCACGTCCAATTTATAAAATCTCAAAAAAATGAGGAGAAACCCAGTCGGCTGCTGCACACACATCTTCCATGGAGATACCCTTAAATGCCGCCCAAGACGCGGCCATTCCTCTTGTAGAATGGGCTCTTTGGTTGCTTGGTAATAGCTGACCTTTCACTGAATACGCCAGTTTTATAGCTTCCACTATCCAGTGAGATAGCCGCTGCTTTGACAGTGCCTGGCCCTTCTTAGGGTTTGCAAAACACACAAAGAGGTTTTCAGATCGTCTAAAACCCTGTGTCTTCTCCAAGTAAATCCTTAATGCCCTAATCGGACAAAAGTGCTGCAGATCCCTTATCATTGGGGACCCTGAGAGAGGAGGGTGGAAAGCATGAATTTCTATTTCCATACATGAATAGCCAGGCTTGATTACCTTGGGCACAAATGCTGGGTTTGGGCGGAAAGTAACTTTGGAAAAATTTTGTGTAAACCTGATACATGCAGGGTTGATAGATAATGCATCTAACTCTCCTACCCGCTTCATAGAGGTTAGGGCGAGCAGTAAAGCTGTCTTGTAGGAGACAATCTTCAAATCTACCTGCTCCAAGGGTTCAAAAGGGGCTTCCCTGAGTGCTTCCAGGACCAGGGCCAGATCCCATGCTGGTAACATAGGTTTGGTGATTGGTCTCAGACGGCGCACACCCTTCATAAATCAACTTACGATAGGATGCTTTCCTACTGTTTCGCCGTTAAATTCCATGTAGCAAGATGAATTGGCCGCCAGGTACACTTTGTTTGTAGAGAAGGCATTGTCTTCTTCTAGCATCTCCTGAAGGAAGGTAAGGATGTCCAACACTGATGAAAGAAATACTCCTAATGGCCATAACAGGGCTATTAGGAGCACCCTTACCCTCTGTGATCTGATTCTGGACAGTGTGGGGAGGATAAGGCTTATCGGTGGGAAAGCATATAACAGGGTCTCTGGCCAGGGCTGTGCTAATGCATCCATCCCTAATGGCGCATCCATCCCTTTTAGTGAGAAGAACAGGGGACAATGTGTGTTCTCCTCTGAGGCAAATAGATCCACTCTTGCCTGACCATATTTCCTGAACTTTCTCTAGGTGAAGCCTCCATTCCCCCGGGTGAGGATTCCCCCTCGACAACATCTTCTTCTAGCATCTCCTGAAGGAAGGTAAGGATGTCCAACACTGATGAAAGAAATTGTATCTTCTGTATTTCCTGACACCATTTCTCAAACCTTATCCATTTTGCCTCATACAGAGATCTGGTGGAGTCTGCTCTAGCACTCTGTATGGTGGAGATCACATTCTGAGGCGGGTCCAGGGCATTCAGGTTAGACCTTTCACGGGCCAGACCCAAAGATTCCACCTCTCCGGATGTGGATGAAAAATCCTCCCCCCTGCCAGAGAGAAGAGATCTCTGCTCTGAAGAAGACACCACAGATGTGAATACAGCAGTTGAAAATTCTTTGCTGTCCATGTCCTCCCTGGCCATAACAGGGCTATTAGGAGCACCCTTACCCTCTGTGATCTGATTCTGGACAGTGTGGGGAGGATAAGGCTTATCGGTGGGAAAGCATATAACAGGGTCTCTGGCCAGGGCTGTGCTAATGCATCCATCCCTAATGGTGCATCCATCCCTTTTAGTGAGAAGAACAGGGGACAATGTGTGTTCTCCTCTGAGGCAAATAGATCCACTCTTGCCTGACCATATTTCCTGAACTTTCTCTAGGTGAAGCCTCCATTCCCCCGGGTGAGGATTCCCCCTCGACAACAGATCTGCCCCGATATTGGCCTGGCACATGTGTCACTCTGAGAGACAGCAAGTGCTTTCTGCTCCATAACAATATTATTTTTGCCAAGGCATGCAGACTCCTCGATTGGACTCCCCCTTGCCTGTTTATATTTGCAACCACTGTTGTGTTGTCTGATCTGACTAACACATGACGGTCTCTTATCTGCCGAAGGAAGTGTTTGAGGCCAGAGAAACTGCAAGGAGTTCCAGACAATTTACATGCATTACTTTGATTCTGTCCATACCCCATTCACAGGTTGTTCCTCCATTATCGCTTCTCAACCGAGTGAGGACGCATCTGTGGTGACCACCTTGCGATTTAAGACTACTCCCATTGCCATTCCTTCCCTCAGGAATTCCCTGTCCCGCCAGATGAGCAGTGCCCCAAAGGCACTACTGCTAAGACAGAAGCCATGAGGCCCAGCAACCTCAGACACAGCCGAAAAAAGACTGTTTTCCCCAGATGAAACTGACTTACACAGTTCCTTAAATTCTCCCTCCTCTGTTCTGACAGGGTTGCCCGGTAAGATAATGAGTTTAGGCTTAAACCCAGAAATATTATTGACTGAGTCGGAGTTAACGAGCTCTTCTTCTGGTTTACTACAAAACACAGAGCATTCAAATGCATTAACACTGCCTTTGTATGCAAATCTGCCATCTCCTTCGACCTGGCACAAATTAACCAGTCGTCCAGATATGATAATATCCTTATACCCTGTTGTCTCAGCGGTGTTAGTGACGCTTCCACACATTTTGTGAAAATGCGGGGTGCTAGAGACAGGCCAAATGGTAGAACCTTGAACGCTTATATCTTGTACTGGAAAGCAAACCTTAGGAATTGTGCTGAGGATGGATCTGAATATGGAAATAAGCATCTTTCAGATCTATTGAGGTGAACCAGTCTCCTCTTTGTATAGAATGGGGCAGGGATTTGTGTGTCAACATTCTGAATTTGTATTTTCTCAGGTGTTTGTTTAAAGTTCTGAGGTCCAAAATAGGCCGTATGCCTCCCCTTTCTTTGGGATCAGAAAATACTGGCTGAAGAATCCCTTCTTTGATTCTTCTGCTGGTACTCCCTGAATTGCTTCCTTGAGAAGGAGAGAATTTATCTCTTCCCTCAAAATGTTTACATTCTCTGTCTGCACTCTTGACTGTTTTATTCCCGAGAACCCTGGAGGTCTTCTCGCAAATTGCAGTCTGTACCTCTTTTGAATCGTGCTGAGTAACCACTGAGAATCTGTGCGTTTTACCCAATTGTCTAGGTCAGGGGTAGGCAAGTTCGGTCCTAGAGAGCCGCAGTCCTGCAGAGGTCAGCTCCAACCCTGAAAAAAAACTCACCTGCCTATAGCCTTAGTAATTCTGAAGACATTGATTAGCTTGTTCAGGTGTGTTTGATTAGTGTTGGAGCTGAACTCTGCAGGACTGCGGCTCTCTAGGACTGAACTTGCCTACCCCTGGTCTAGGTGTACTGATAAATCTCACACATCGTTCAAATGTAGACTTTCTACTTGCATTACAGGTGTTTTCAACAATACAGTTTGTACAGGGTGCCTGTGTAACACAGTATTGTGACTTAAACAATCACTTTTCATTTGTATGAGAGACTTGTTTGAATTTAGAAAAAGGTAAGAGCAAGAGACCACACAATGTTCTTATGCATAAACAGTCTGCTTTATTTGATTCAAAAACACAGGGGAAACAGGTGTGTGATGGTGCTTATTGACATTCTCTACTCGACCCCATGGTATGTGCGGTGGTTGGTGAGTGCCTTTGATGCTCATCATTGTACTCCGGGGGATTTGCGGAGACAATGTGAGAAACAGATCGGGATCTGCTAAACTGCCTGTTTCTTCTTTCTTCCCCTCGCAGTCGGTAGGATAATGCAACCTGATAAGGCCATGTGAAAACCTCTATTCTTGCACAATGAATGTTTTTTAGCAGTAGTTTCTGCTAAACAGCAAATACATCAAATAACCCAGACGCATGTGAAAAATTTCCATCCTGACCTTCACAAGGACACTTTATTCAAAGACAAGAAGCAAATCATCACTCATCGAGCCAAACCAGGTGAGTTAGGGAAATGAGTTAACAAGTCAATCCAAAATATAATGAAAAACCTACAATATTCGGATAAACTACATTATCTGTAATGATATTTACCTGATTTGATACACCACAATTTTTTAATATCTACAGCTACACATATATAGGTTAATGGATTTCTTTAGACATTACAGAAGATCTTTTGCTGATCTTTACATTTCTGTAGCTCAATCACTAGAATATGGCAACTGTGAATCTTCACTTTCCTCATGATTTGATTACATTTCTGAGGGTAACAATTTGATTATAAAACGATTATTAATGCATCATGATGCATCTTTTTCGCCAATTCTTCTATTAATAATGACTAGGGCTGTGTATCGGCAGCAAAGTCATGATGCGATACATATCCCAATACAGAGGCCACAATACGATACATTTCACCTCGGAATTTACTATAATAGCTGTTTATTAAACACTGCATACAATAGGACCATTGCTAAGTATATGCAGAGCAGGCAGTTGACCTCTGCATTATGAAGAGCCTCCATAACTGTACCACTGTATAACAATATCAGAAATGGAGTATGTTTCATATTTAACATTGGGCACTCCCCACCAGGTACAATATTCTGATTGTTTGTTTCTTGTTTTTAAGCCCATAAATAACGGTGTACTCAATCTAATAAATATATTGTAATGTACTTATTCTAATATACTAATTAAATAATCTTTAAACTGCTGGTAGGTTATCATTGCACAAATTAACACACGCTAACTCACAGCTTCACTGTTAATAGAGAAATTAAGAAAAACAAAGAGAGAAACAAAGACAGAGGTAATTCATACATACACAATCTCTCTCTCTCTCTCTTAGGCCCGTAAATGAACAAATTAACACAGACACAGAGTATTACACTTTTCTCTGAATAGAATATCCCACTGGAGATCGCTAAACTTCTAGTTTACCAGTTTTTTCAGAAAGCCAGTGTTTTTATCCACAGTGGAGAGAGAGGACACGCACATGGTTGCCAGGCCGATAACATTTTAAATATATTCAACAGAAGCATTCAAGTCTGAAATAATACAGAAATTGAATAATCAAATGTAAAAATACACATGACACAGTCTTTAGTGTATTACACATAAATTGATTATTATTAAAGCTACAAAAGTTACAAAAAAAGAGCAGTGAGTGATTCCCACTTTTTGATTAACAACAACAAAATTCAGTCCCAAAAGTGTGTGAGATATGGGGGAAATGCTAAATATATAAATAAAATAAACATTAATTTTGAGTGTCTTAATGCATTTGCAAAGTTTTGTTCCCTTATTAAATCCTATGCATTTTTTAAATGTATCTTTTTCTGATCTAAAATGGACCCCGGACATGTTCCGATGGTTAATTTTATATCAATCTTTCAGGTTCAAAATTTCCACATTTATGTAAACGAAAATAATGTGCTCTTATATTTTTAAACTACTTGCATGAAAGGTACACCATTTACCGTAGGGTATAAAACCAAAGAAACAACACAAGCTGACTTTTATGCACTAATCCAGGGCTGTCCAAACTGGGTCCTGGAGGGCCGGTGTCCTGCAGAGTTTAGCTCTAACTTGCCTCAACACACCTGACTGGAAGTTTCTATGCCTAGTAAGAGCTTGATTAGCTGCTTCAGGTGTGTTTCATTAGGGTTGGAGCTAAACTCTGCAGGACACCGGCCCTCCAGGACCCAGTTTGGACAGCCATGTACTAATCAATTTACACTAATTCATTCTCTCTCTTAAATTCATTTAAATCCACTTGTTGCAGTTTAGCTGAGGCTGTTTTTCTTGTATGGCTTTTTCGTTGTTACTATAACATTCATAGTATTATATCTATAATTTGTATCTCTTTTCATAAAATGCTATTATGTTGTTGTTTCTGTACTCTAAATCTCCAGGAGAAGGGCCAAGCACACACCTACTAGCATTTGCATAGGAAAATAACTGCTGAAGAGTCAAAAAAATACGTTAAAATTTGCATGATCTGAAAACATCCTCCACTAATCACAAACAAACAATACATTTACACAAATACAGCTGACCTGAAAACTGACAAAGAATCACATTTCTAATGATGTGGATCCAAACGCATCCTCAAAAACATGGCTTTGACCGTACATTTATTGATTATATCTAGTGCACAATTTAATGCAAGAACTGATGAATGTAAATGTGCACCTTGAACGCAAACGCATACATGCATAAAGTCAATTTTTAAAAGGAGAAAGGTTTTCTGAATAAAACATCTGTAAATGTTTCTACATAAAGTAGAATAAGTGTCCTAAGATGATCCACCATAACAATTTAAGGAGGAACCACAAAAAAACATACAATACACACTTTGCATATCTGACTGTGAAATTCCCTTCTTAGCATAACAAACCCATTAAAAGAGCACAAGATTGGGAACTTGAGAAACATCCTGAAAACTCGCTATCACTGAAGGTAGGCCAACATTTCATCAGTTCACTCTCAGCGCAGTTTAACAGGTCAGTGCTTTTTCATTCATGAGGGATGAACAGCTGATTACTAATTATGCTGCACTTTAACAAATGCAAGATTACACTTTCTCAACTGTATCGCATCATGGTGTCAGTAATGGAAATTACATTAGCATATTTCTTCATTTTATGTATGTTTAATTAATAATCTGCTGTTATGATTTGCCTGTTGATATTGTAGACAGATTTGCCATTTTACTGTATTATGTGCTTATATTTTCGTAATTTGACTGCATAGCAAAGAGCACATATGTTGTGTAAAACTGAAATTATAATTATATAAATTTGAAAATAATATGCAATTTTAACCTAAAAAATAATAAGGACGTTTTTGTTTTTTGTTTTTTGTTTTTTATGTTTTTCCAGTGACAAAACCACTGGCAAAGTGATGGACCAAATTTGGCTTCATCTGCTTTTTCTTTCAGGTAAAACATCATGCAAAACATTAAAACACATCATTAAAAAAACATTGAAACATGTAACAACATTACAAAAGAAATTAGAACAGATTTGCATATTCTTGCTGTATTACATACAATGATATTATGACAAAATGCAATAAAAACTTTGTAGGCAAGAGTGAGACAAGGAGAATTATCCTAAGCTCAATGTAATCAAGTCAAAAATCATTCAGATTGTTCACTTACAATGGATAATTAAAGCAAGCAGAGAACCAAAGAAATATGACTTATAAAAACAATAAAAAATCAGTTCGGATACGTTCTGTTGCTATCAGCCGGTTATTATGAAGATTAATCGAGTAATAAACTCAAGTGAAGAATAATATAGCAGGCTTTCATTTTAAAGAAAGTAAAATATTTTGAAAGAAAAATAAAAAGCTTTTAAAATAATACAACTAATGACTGGATCAAAACATTATGTATTTTAACAGAGTATTTCAACAATATAATGTATAATGCATTTATGTTTTATGTCATTTTCATTACTTGTGATGAAGTTTATAATAATACCAGCAGAGGACGTCAATGCACTGATAGCTGAAGAACAATATTAAAATCAAATCCTTATTTAATCCAAACTATATTTAAATATTTAAATTAAATATCTTCTCCAATATTTGACCAATGCTTTACGACAGAAACGCTACAGTGACTGAAATTTCTTTATCAAAACATGCAAAACCAAAGACAAACTCACTCGACAAGCTCTCGTTCAACAATGACCAAACAAACTATAGGTGTCAGAATAAAAACAAGGTGACTGGGACTATTACAGCCAGCCAACTGGAAACTTTCAGTAGGAAAAATACTAAAACCACTGTATTCTCTTGCCAGGACTCCTGTCATTAACTCTGTGTAAACCACAAGAGTATATTCTGTACAAGCAGTTAAAGACGTGGGAAAATGCACAGAGTTACTGCAGGACACACCATATTGATCTGGCCACCGTTCAGACTGATGAAGACTGGACAAGTCTGAAAGAAGCTGCAGACGAAAAACAGTTTTATGGCTTTGCCTGGATCGGACTGTTCAATGACATTAAAAGCTGGCGCTGGTCTTATAACGAGGAGAGTCTGGTGTTCGAGTCCTGGGGTCTTGTCCAGCCAGATAACTACGGTGCGGGAGAGGAGTGTGTCGCCATCTTTCCTAACGGAGCCTGGAATGATATCTACTGCACCATCGAAAAATATGTTGTGTGTTACGACGGTGAGAAACACGTATAATCACTCTTTATTGATGCTCATTAATTCAGTGTATGAATACAGACACCAATATAATGACATTAGGGTGGGAAAACATTTACAGCATAAACCAGTGTTATTTCAGTATCACTGAGATGCTATAGCTTTTCTTTTTTATATATATTTTATTTGAGTTTCAGATGTCGGAACAATTAGTATCTTCACATCAGATTTGATTTAAGCAAATTGCATGTGTTTTGGCACATGTGTAACTACAATCCTCTACGATTTACTTAATGCACATGGCTTGTTGATCAAAACTGAGGAGTTGATTCTCAGTGAAAGAGTCACAACTTCTAAACATTCTTTCACTGAGTGAGCCATCACATGCAAAATGATTCATTTATCAAATTATCATTCAGTTATTAAAATCTGTCAGATGTGTGTGAAGGCTATATGCCATAAATATCTGACAGAGAATGGTTGTAATGTCTGCTAAGTTGGCAGATGGCTTGCCATCGGAGTTGCAAAGAGGCGGAAAATTCCTAGTAAATTTCGAAAACTTTCCAGGATTTTTTGGAAACTTTCTGAAAACTGTTGTAAATGTTTTGAAACTTTTGGAAAGTTTCTGGAAATGTACCAGAAATGTTCCAACCTGTCTTGCCATTGCAATGAAATAAGAATCAGGACGTTTGGAAGCATGTACAGTATATGCAGTTTGCACAGTACAATCACTACCATTTTTGAACAAGGAGGAACATCACAAACAGCACGTTTATACGTTTATACTTGTACAGTACATTTATCTGTAGAAATGTCTTACATGTAAACTGAAAATTCACAGTTGCTTGTTGTGGAAGCGCAATAGGAAGATATGCAAGAATGTGTGATGGTTACGGGAAGACAATAGAGTTTGTAAAAATGAATTAGCAATGGTGAATTTTCAGTTTAAATGAAATATTTCTACAAAAATAAATGTAATGTTTATTTTTTTTGTGTACTACAGTATTGACTTTTCATGCATTTTTACCTACTTTTGAAATATCTCTCTAAAATGCTCAGTGTGATACACAGACAAATCTGACAAACTGTAAATGTCTACAAAGATTATTTATTTCAGTTTTAGTTATTTTAGTACATCAAGATTAAAAAAAAAAAATCTAAATGAGAAATGTTTCATTGGACACTAGCTGAAGTCACTAAATTTAAGTTTTTTTTTATATTTTATTTTATTTAAATTAACATTTATTTTATTTCAGATAATACAAAGTTAGTTTAAGTTCACTATAATAGCCCAGTCATAAACTTTTGGTCAATAATGATCAAACTATAAAGTTTTACAAGTATTCAGTTCACTGAAATCTCTTTATTTCGATACAGAAAATGCTGAAAGGAATGATAAACTTGCAGTTCAGATGCTGAGAAGCCAAATAAAATAAAAGACTTGTCAGGCCAATTCAAACCAGTATCATTAGTGAACACTAGATCAAAACAAACAAACAAAAAAAAAACATAATAAAATAAATAAAAGGTTGTCAAGACAAATCTTGATGTTGGCTTGAGAAAGCCTAGTTGCAAAAGCTTTAAGTTTGAAACAGTTTTAGGGTTTGAATGACAGACATACAGCCAGGATCTGAACCGTTCTTGTTCCATTCCGTGCCGATCCGGCCCAGACAACATTGATGTGGTTTTGTTTTCTGCTTTTTTTTAAGCAACAGAGAGAAACTAGTAGCCAGGAAAAAGACAGGTGACTGATCCTGAGCGGCAACATCACTATACGCATTCTGCAGCACGGTTCAGCCCGACAGATGAAAAGCGGCTCTAGACAGACAGACAGATACAATTTGAAGTACTTTTTATTTTGAAGAAGTTTTACATTTAAACAAGTTTTAAAAAAGCTTTGAGGGTTTTTGGTTTCTCTATGTGGTTGCTGTTACTAGCAATTTCTGAGTGAAAATTGTTCCTACACTAATATTTTTCAGCATGTATTAATGTTTTCTGCTAGTAAATTTCACAAATAATCACAAGGAAATGGCAAGTAACAATAAATAAAATGTGAAATTTTGAAGAAAAACCGAAATCGTATTTTCTTGAAAAATTTACTCCAATTTTGTACGGTCTTTTTTTTTTTTTTTGTACATGAATAATGATAATGATAATAAATGTTTAATTGTTGGGTGAACTATTCCTTTAAACTCCCATTTTATCCATGCTTTATCTTGGGCTGCAATGATACACCTGTCTCCTGATTTCGAAACTATCACAATACTTGGGTGCCGATATGATATGTATTGTGATTTTTAAGAATTTCCTCTAGAGATGCACCGATTGAAATTGTCTTGGCTGATTGACCTGCAGATACTGATTTTTGCTGATTCTGATTTTCTTTAAGAACTATCATTGACAGCATACAAACAAAAATCTACCTTTTTCAATGCAAAATGTTATTTTCATAATAAAATAAATTATGAAACATTAAAATGTCCCCTAAACTGCACTAAGTTACAAATGTTCTCTCACTTAACTCTCAAAATAAAGTGCTCTGTCACTGGAAAGAGGTAGAAATGAGTTAATGTGTATAACAAAACAGATGTAATTTCCCACTAGGTTTATAAATGGGCAGTTCTTTTCTTAACCTTACTAAATGTATGTATTATCTTTCATGTCAAATTCTTAAATTGTATCAATTAATTCAGTTAGAATAATAAGAAACTGTAGTGTTGTTACCATTCAAAATAATCAGTATCAACAAACTCCATCTTTTCTCTGCAGAGGAAACAGAAGCTGCTTGTGAAGTGGCATTAAATGCATTTACACAGACTGTTTGATGAAGCCGGGGTGCCATAAATGCATTTACAGTGATTCTGAAATGTTCAGAATCTAATCAGAATGGTTGAAGAGAGAATCGTGATCCATCAGAGAATCTTTTTTTTTTCTCTTGTAATGTCTGCTAAGTTGGCAGATGGCTTGCCATCGGAGTTGCAAAGAGGCGGAAAATTCCTAGTAAATTTCGAAAACTTTCCAGGATTTTTTGGAAACTTTCTGAAAACTGTTGTAAATGTTTTGAAACTTTTGGAAAGTTTCTGGAAATGTACCAGAAATGTTCCAACCTGTCTTGCCATTGCAATGAAATAAGAATCAGGATGTTTGGAAGCATGTACAGTATATGCAGTTTGCCCAGCACAATCACTACCATTTTTGAACAAGGAGGAACATCACAAACAGCACGTTTATACGTTTATACTTGTACAGTACATTTATCTGTAGAAATGTCTTACATGTAAACTGAAAATTCACAGTTGCTTGTTGTGGAAGCGCAATAGGAAGATATGCAAGAATGTGTGATGGTTACGGGAAGACAATAGAGTTTGTAAAAATGAATTAGCAATGGTGAATTTTCAGTTTAAATGAAATATTTCTACAAAAATAAATGTAATGTTTATTTTTTTGTGTGTACTACAGTATTGACTTTTCATGCATTTTTACCTACTTTTGAAATATCTCTCTAAAATGCTCAGTGTGATACACAGACAAATCTGACAAACTGTAAATGTCTACAAAGATTATTTATTTCAGTTTTAGTTATTTTAGTACATCAAAATTAAAAAAAAAAAATCTAAATGAGAAATGTTTCATTGGACACTAGCTGAAGTCACTAAATTTAAGTTTTTTTTATATTTTATTTTATTTAAATTAACATTTATTTTATTTCAGATAATACAAAGTTAGTTTAAGTTCACTATAATAGCCCAGTCATAAACTTTTGGTCAATAATGATCAAACTATAAAGTTTTACAAGTATTCAGTTCACTGAAATCTCTTTATTTCGATACAGAAAATGCTGAAAGGAATGATAAACTTGCAGTTCAGATGCTGAGAAGCCAAATAAAATAAAAGACTTGTCAGGCCAATTCAAACCAGTATCATTAGTGAACACTAGATCAAAACAAACAAACAAAAAAAAAACATAATAAAATAAATAAAAGGTTGTCAAGACAAATCTTGATGTTGGCTTGAGAAAGCCTAGTTGCAAAAGCTTTAAGTTTGAAACAGTTTTAGTTTATTTTTTTTGTGTACTACAGTATTGACTTTTCATGCATTTTTACCTACTTTTGAAATATCTCTCTAAAATGCTCAGTGTGATACACAGACAAATCTGACAAACTGTAAATGTCTACAAAGATTATTTATTTCAGTTTTAGTTATTTTAGTACATCAAGATTAAAAAAAAAAAATCTAAATGAGAAATGTTTCATTGGACACTAGCTGAAGTCACTAAATTTAAGTTTTTTTTATATTTTATTTTATTTAAATTAACATTTATTTTATTTCAGATAATACAAAGTTAGTTTAAGTTCACTATAATAGCCCAGTCATAAACTTTTGGTCAATAATGATCAAACTATAAAGTTTTACAAGTATTCAGTTCACTGAAATCTCTTTATTTCGATACAGAAAATGCTGAAAGGAATGATAAACTTGCAGTTCAGATGCTGAGAAGCCAAATAAAATAAAAGACTTGTCAGGCCAATTCAAACCAGTATCATTAGTGAACACTAGATCAAAACAAACAAACAAAAAAAAAACATAATAAAATAAATAAAAGGTTGTCAAGACAAATCTTGATGTTGGCTTGAGAAAGCCTAGTTGCAAAAGCTTTAAGTTTGAAACAGTTTTAGGGTTTGAATGACAGACATACAGCCAGGATCTGAACCGTTCTTGTTCCATTCCGTGCCGATCCGGCCCAGACAACATCGATGTGGTTTTGTTTTCTGCTTTTTTTTAAGCAACAGAGAGAAACTAGTAGCCAGGAAAAAGACAGGTGACTGATCCTGAGCGGCAACATCACTATACGCATTCTGCAGCACGGTTCAGCCCGACAGATGAAAAGCGGCTCTAGACAGACAGACAGATACAATTTGAAGTACTTTTTATTTTGAAGAAGTTTTACATTTAAACAAGTTTTAAAAAAGCTTTGAGGGTTTTTGGTTTCTCTATGTGGTTGCTGTTACTAGCAATTTCTGAGTGAAAATTGTTCCTAC